CCCACCTGACACTGGTGCAGGCGCAGGCTGCATTCTGAATTAATAGGGTTAGCAGCAGGGAAGGCTGGGAGGCTGAGGAGAGAGAGGCTGCAGGACGCAGTGTGATGTGATGACATCACTGTCATCCCTCAAGAAAAGGTTTTTTTTTAATATAGAGAGAGATTCACAATACTCCCTGTGAGATAAAGCAAGTACCCATTTCACTGGTGGGTAAACCTGGCCCCAAGGGGCAAAGTGAGTCATAGGCCTGGTCTGCTACAAAGTTAAGTGGACATAAGCTGCCTTGCGTCAACCTAGCTGGCATGTGTCTGTTCTTCAATTTGTCTCCAACTGATGTAAGTGCCCCATTAAGGTAATACTACCTCAATGAGCGGCATTGAGCTGGTTGATGTACTGCGATTAATGTGGGGTGTGAGTGTAGACGCTACATTACTTATGTCAGCAGGGCCGACAGCCATCACAAGCTGAGGACAAGGTCCTTAGGGTGCCCCAAAATGGGTGGGGTCTTGGGTGGATGGGGTGGGGCAAAAGGGGTCAACCCTTAGCACTAGTAGCACACTCCCACCCCCAGCCCTGAGAGCCATGTGGTGGTGCACTGGCAGCAATTCAAAAGGGCCCAGGGGTCTGGGCACCACTGCTGCTGCAGTAGCAGCAGCAGCAGCCGGGAGTTCTGGGCCTCTTTAACCTCTAGGCCCCAGGGCAATTACCCCCTTTGTTCCTGTCTCTTCCCCTTGTCCCCCCAGCGGGCCTGGAAATTCTCTAATAGTTCTCCAGCTGCTGTTCCATGATGTCGGACACTGACCATTCTTGCCACAGTTCAGAACTACATTGGTAAGGGATCACAGAGACTAGAAGACTTTCCTCCATAAAGCCCCCATGCATTTTAAAAAGCTGTTCCTGGTTGTCCAGCTTGGTAATCACACCTACCAGCTCTCCATTGCTGTGCACTCCAACCATGCCCCAAGTTGCAGAATCTACTGTGCGTCAAGGGGGGACAAGTACGCTTAGTGAGCATGTGCACAAGAAGCAAACATGCATTGACTCAAGCATGTACGCATACAAATGGAGTGCTAACTGCCGCAGCTTTACTCTGATGTACCTTGTGGCAACAAAAATGTGTATTGTGGTAACAAAAGTCTGGAAACTCTTGTGTTTCAATCATGAGGGCCATGAACCATCAAGAATGCTTGTAACTTTAAACATGTGGGCAGCATGACTGAGTTTAATTCAATGAATAATGTTCATATAGTTAGGAATGTGCTTAAGTAATTTTTAGGCTAGCACTGGTCCACTTCTCTTGTTAGTCTTTTTTGACTTTCTTTTCTCCTGCTCTCTGAATGTCTTTTCTACCTAACTTGGTTATTAATGAGACTGTAGTTTAAGCCTTGTCTTCTTGTAAGTACCATTTGTAACCTACAAACCTATTAGGTGTGGTTCACTGCCCCAAGTTGTGGCACTTAATCCACTTACAAAGTGAAACAAAGAGGCTACGTCTACACTGCAGGCTTCTTGCGCAAGAAGCTTTTTGTGGAAGAGCATGTCCACACTGCACAAGTGCATCAGAAAAGCGATTTGCTTTTGCGTAAGAGAGCAGCCGGACTGCATGGACACTCTCTCACAAGGAAGTTCTGATTGCCATTAACAGATTGTCCACCAGAGCACCTGTGCTTGTTTGATAGTCTGTTTTTGAACAAAAAAACCCTGCTGCCTGTCCTCAAACACCTTTTTGCACAATAACTCTTGCACAAAAAGGAGTTATTCCTTGTAGAAAGAGGAATACCTATACCGCAAAAATGCCTCTGTTCTGTCAATTTACTGAAAATTTTCTTTGCGCAAAAACTCTGCAGTGTAGATGTAGCCTGAGTGTGCTCTACAGCCTTAGCCAAGAGCCAGCTAGGTCAAACTGAAGAGGCGTATGCATTAAACTCCAGAGGTCCCTAGTTTGGTTCTGCCCATTGGTGTTACACATGCACACCTGTGGTACTTAATAAATAGAGGTGTAACTTTGTTTCTCCTCACTGAGGTCTTTTGATCAGCTTTTCATAATATATCTTTTAGTGCATCACTTAGGAGTCCCTTCCATAAGTAGTGCTGAAATGAAACAATGTTATACTGGTTCAAGCCAATTAATGTAGTATAAGACAGTCAGAAAACTAAAACTGCTCACTAATATTTTTGAGGTAGTGGAAGATCTGGATCCCCACAAGTATCAATGAATGTATTCAGAAGACAAATATACGAGATAGAAAATTTCAGTTCCTATATGCTGATATAGTATATGTAAGATACTCAGACATCCACTGATTACTACATAATCAAAAATATCCAATAGTATTTGCTTCTTTTCTACATTCACAGCCATAAAATTTGGTTAGCGTTATTTAGCCATCTGCCTTGATTTGTAAATATTCTCCTTAATTAAAGATTAATATCTTAATCAGTGGAATTAATAGCTTGAGTATAACTTGGAGTTTCATCAAAGTTCAATACATTTTACAAGAACTTAATTTTAGACTGGATAAATTGGAACACCATAAATATTAATAATAAGTAAGTATAGTCTGGCAATAACCACCTCATAATTAATTAACATTGCATTACAGTCCTTGAAAGAGTTGCGCTCTTTAAGGACCTTCCTATTAGCTGGTTCTAACACTCAGTAGAGTCAACAGGAGTTTTTCTATTGACTTCACTGGGCTTCATTAGTAGAACTTGATGGCTCCATATTCTTTTTTTTTTTTTTTTTTTAAATCAGACAATACATAGCATCAGCTGTCTCTCCCTGTGACACAAACTGGTCCATATGATTTGACTGAATTCTTCCAGGTACCATTTCTCCCATTTCAGGATTTGAGTCTGATGTGAATGTGGCAGATAAAGTATAGTTAAATTGCTAATAAAGTCATAATTGCAGGTGCAGGGTACTTTTTAGTTTGACCCTTCATGAAAAGGAACACAAGATGTTCATTTCTTTTGAATAATCTTTCACACTAGTTCCACCTTCATCAGGACTAGGATTGCAGCTGGCCCTGTTGGCTAACATGTTAGTACCTTCCATTGATAACTGCACTGATGAGAAGTTTTCACTGTAGCTCCCTGACTTTGCTTGGTATTTGTCGTTTGGCTAAATGAACAAAGCTAAAATGACACATACTGACATAAGAAACAACACAGATGCTAAGGAACTTCTTTGCATTTGTAGTGCAAAAATTGAACCCAAATGTTAAACACTGATAATTTATAAGACATTTTCAGTACAGTTTTACCCTATAACTCAATTCTTTCAATGCTTTACAGAGGAAGTATCTTAACTATAGACAGCAATGCTGAAGCCCTGTGCTAAGAGAGTATAATAAAAAATACAGTCATCATGTCTAGGGTTGCCAGATGGTTTCAACAAAAATACTGGACACACTTGACATTACATCATAATCTACATTACATCTTATTTAGAAAATACCGGACATTTATATTTTCTCAATTTGTTTCCTGAACAGAAAGCTCAAATACTGGACTGTACGGTTCAAAACCGGACACCTGGCAATCCTAATCATTTCAGGATATTATATACTGTTTTCAAGCTACATGCAGAATTACCATTAACAGTTAAGAGCACTGGATAATACAAGGGCAGTCTAGGGCTACTCATGAAAAAGTTAGTGATCCAGTATCCAGTTACAAAACTATGAATGTGCAAGAGGAAATAAGGCTGGCTGGACCTACAGACCTGCCACTGCCTTTTAATTACTTCTGCAATTTTTGTTTGCAGCATAAATATTGTCCTGAAAGTTTGTTTGTGAGTAAGTGATTGTGGGAAAAGGCTGAATAGGGGGCTGACTGATTTGTTCATTAATATACATATACTGTATTAGAGCGCTGCTACAAATCCTCTATGGAAATGTCCCATAAGAAGCAGGAAGAGTGGAGGCTGTGTCTATATTCATGGGATAAAACTGTACAATATTCGCTCTAGCAGAGTGATTTTGTTTTTAAAGAAAAAGACAGACAAAAGGAGAGGAGGTAGTTTTGGAGTCCAGTGTATAAGAACAATGGACAGCCATGCTCTGTTGCTTTTTTTAGGGAAAATCCAAAATGAGTTCCTCTCGGTTGAAGGAAATTCAGAGGACACCCTGCTGAGCAAAATGGGGGGTGGAGGTGAGGAATTTACAGTTCCATTGGCTTTTCCTCTGGTTTCCCAGCACTGTGTCATCCTTTGCTCTGTGTCACACATCCGCAGCACAAGGCACAATATGCAGCTGCAACAGTAGCACTCAGATCGGAGGAAGGAAAGAAGAATAAAATGATTTTTTTCAAAGTTCGTAGACTGTATCTTCACCATTACCCATGTCCAGCTAGGCATTGCCATCCAAATGTTTTGTCTTCTTTAAAGTCTGAAGACGAGACTTCTTTTGTGTGAAACTTTTTTCATTGTAAACGATAAACTGGCATAGTAATAAGCATGTTAAAGAAAAAGTGATCAGAAAGTAGGATTAAACTATACAAAATTAGCATAAGAAGAAATCCAATAGATTTGTTGCATGTTTTTATGAAAAAAAAATCTTGATTAATCCTTCTCATCCCTTCAGAATGAGTTCAGCCATTACAGGTCAACGGGGGGAAGAAAGAAAGAAAGAAAGAAAGAAAGAAAGAAAGAAAGAAAGAAAGAAAGAAAGAAAGAAAGAAAGAAAGAAAGAAAGAAAAACTTGTGAGTTTAAAATGTAAGTAGCTTGAAGCTATATAAAATACATAAATGAAAGCTGTAATTTAATATTTCCTCTTCTTGGATTTAGCTCTTCTTGGGAGATTCCAAAAAAGGTCCTGTAATAAAAAGAAAAACATTTCTAAAATGTTGTGTTTTCTTAAGAAACTTAAATTAACTTTCTTGTATAAATTCAAACAAATTTGTTGATGTTGGTGGATGGAAACTGGACACACAAGCTATGTCTACACTACAGCGCTATTTCAGGATACTAGAGGTATCCCAAATTAGCTATTCCATGTATTTTGAGCATGCCCATTATTTCAAAATATAACAGGCTCCCTATTTGGATGTCCCCGTAAACCTCATTCCACAGCAGTTAAGAGACATTTTGGAATAGCAATTTATTTCAAAAATAAGTGCTGTGTAGACAGCACCAAATTTTGAAATAAGCTATTTCAAAATTGACTAGAAATAAGATAGCTAATTTGCATAGCTCAAATTGCATAGCTTATTTCAAGCTTTGGGGGCAATGTAGATGCATCCACGGTGTCCTTGCCTAATTTCCTGAACAGAATACAGAAAGTTGTGTTCAAAGAAACCACATGACAAATACATCAATCATCTAGGATTACTTGGTGGTTTCTAATGGAATAAGCAATTTTTGTTTTTGTAGTTTTGGTTTTGGGGGGTGGTTTTTTATTTGTTTGTTTTTTCAGAATGCTTCAGAACCAAATAACCTAAGACACTAGGAAATAGTGTCTTGGTATTTTATTTGATTTTTTAAACATTTTATTTCCCCTTTTCAAATTAGTGAGTTAAATACGGGCAAGGCTGATTTCATTTTTTATTAAAAAGTAATTTCAGTGAAATGGCATATCAACTATAGACCTTTTAATGGAAAAATTACAGGGAATATTAAAAAAGCAGAAAATCATTCTTGAAAACCAAAAATTATTTCCCAAAATGTTTATTTAAAAATGTTCAAATTTCATCATTTTGTAAAAGAAAGAATATTTTGCAGAAAAACTGATGAAAATAAAAATGTTTTTTAACATTTCGAACAATGAATAATTACCATTTACAACCAATTCCAGATATCAGCTTATCATCAAGATAAATGAACAGTCATAATAAAATAGTAAAAATGTGTCATAAGAGTTAGAGACACAAGCTGGGTGAGGTAGTATCTTATACTGGAGTAACTTCTGCTGGTGAAAGAGACATGCTTTCGAGCTTACACAGAGCTCTTCTTCAGACAAGCAGTCATATGAGGAAATCTTGCTGTCCCTTAGGCTGAGGAGACAACTTTCTACAAGAAATCTCTTTCTACAAGATGGAGTCAATTATAATTCTGAAAACAATGCACCAAAATAGCTTACATTTATTTCCATATTTTCTTGTCTTCAGCATTTGTGGTGCTGATAGATCCACCTAGAGATAAAGTTAAATAAGGCTTGTCTTTAAAAGACTCTGTTTCCCATTGCTTATAACTTTTCCATACCTTAAGTACAATGTCTGACCTTTTTTCATGGATATCTACCTGTTTGCCTGGTGCTGCCATTGAGATCTTATCCTACCTTTCATCAAAACAGTTATTCATGGAATACCCATTGAATGACAGGATTCAACTGGTGAGTTGAGGCAAAGAGATAGTCTTCAAAAATGGAAGTGAGGAACCTGGCTACGCTAGGTGAACTGGCAATTTGATGGTAATGAAAATCAACGTTCATAGATTCCAAGTAATATACACTGGAGGAAATAATCTTACACCTTACACATATCCAAATTAATTGTAGAACATCAGGTGTGGCTGTACACAGTTCAATGAAGATCTCTACTCAATGAGCAGCTGCAGTCAAATAAGCAAGTGAGATGTTAGGATGCATAAGGAATGGAGAATAACATACACAGAATTATAATGCCATTATAAGTCAGTGATGCTGCCTCATTTGGAAAACTGTGTGCAGCCCATCTCAAAAGGATATTACAAAATCAGAGGGGCAATGAGAAAGCCTTCCTGCAAAAAAGGGATTGAGAAGACTGGGACTGTTTATCTGAGAGAGAGAGAGAGAGAGAGAGTGGCATGATAAGAGAATACAATTCAACAAATGCTATAGAGAAGGTAAATCAGGCATTTTCTTCCCCCTTTCTCATAATAAGAGTGAAATTGAAAGGTAGCAGATTGAAGACACATAAAAGGGCATACCTGTTTGTAAAATTACTCTATACAACTCATTGCCATCAAAGACAGGAACTTCAAAAAAGGATCAGACATTTCTATGGATAACAAGAACATCGAGGGTACGTCTAGACTGGCAAGATTTTCCGCAAAAGCAACCGCTTTTGATCAAAAACTTGCCAGCTGTCTACACTGGCAGCTTGAATTTGCGCAAGAGCACTGACGTTCTAATGTAAGAATTCAGTGCTTCTTGCGCAAATACTCTGACGCCCCCGCTCAGGGATAAGCCCTCTTGTGCAAGAATACTTTCCTTAATTTTTTGCGCAAGAAAGCCCGATGGCTAAAATGGCTATCGGAGCTTTCTTGCACAAAAGCGTGTCTGGATTGGCACAGATGCTTTTGCGCAAAAGCACTTTTTACACAAAAGCATCCTTGCGAATCTAGATGCTCTTTTGCGGAAATACTTTTAATGGAAAAACTTTTCCATTAAAAGTATTTCCGCAAAATCATGCCAGTCTAGACATAGCCACAATGTGCTCAGATGAGGGGTGGGAAAGCTTTTTTCAGTCAGGGGACACTGACGCATGCTAACATCAGTCAGGCCATGCACAAGTGAAATACAACCACAAACACCTCACTGTCCTGGCTCACAACTGAGAAGCATAAAGTAAAATAAAATAAAATAAAATAATAATTAATAAATGACACACCATATTCACACTCAATTCAGAGCACCAAGCACTCACACTCCAGCACTGAGGTTTGGGGCTTCCCCTATAGCCGGGTGAGCCAGAGCTTGTATTCCAGGTTTGGAGACTTGTTGCGGGGCTGGGGCATGAGTGCTGGCTCGGCCCACTGCAGTGGGAAGCCCAAGCCTTACTGTGGGCTGGATCAAAGTGAGATGGGGAAGGGAAGGGGGAGGCGGGGCGTGGATCTGGCCAACAAGCCATTGGTTCCCTTCCCCCCAGCTTAGATGAACCCCTGATCTGATCCAATATAACAATTCTTACATTCCTCTTTAAACTCATCTCTAAATCCTTTACCCTGAGTCAGTTGTGTTAGCAGTGATATAGATGGAATATAGGGACCCAAAGGTGGAAACATAAACCAGTCATTATCCAATCATAAACTGTGGTAAACAAGACTCAGGGATTATTATACAGAGACCTCAGCCTACTTAGTACCTTGGCAAATATACTTTTAATGTTTAATTTAAGATACAGGAAAGAAAGAAAAACAGTTAAAGCATTTGAAAGGTAAGGTATTAAATAAGGCTTTTCTTCCGTGTTGCTGGTGACAGTTTTTAGCAAGGAAAAAAATCCCTTGATTGATAGTTTCTTACATGGTATCAAAGATTATAATAACTGTCCTTTGGGGAAAAAGAGAAGTTAGTTAAAATGGGCTACAACTATGGTTGTTAAAATCCAATGCCATTTCATCCCAGGTAGAGTTTGGAATTAATCTAAAGCTAGTGGAGGTGGAAATGTTATCTAGGTCCCCTTCATTGACCTGGTCAGGTCAGGAAATATTTTAGGCTGACGTCGGTATTAGGCCAGGGCCTCAGGAGATAGAGGGGTTGGTAACACCATGGTGGTGAAGCTCACTCACTAGCCAATTTTCTCCCCAAAGTCCATTTATTATTTTGCCCAGCAATTAGATCTACATTTTTGACACACTAATTTTGGTGTGTTAATTTCTGGACACATTATTTATTTATCAAGAACTAGATCAATAGTGTTTGAATGAATTCCATTTGTCTGTGTGGTTTCCCTGCACCTGTTTATAAAATGCTTTCTTAAAAATATCCTGACCTACTTTTCATGGTTAATTCCCAAGCAGGCAAAAATGTTATGGGCCCAATGGTCACAACAATGTCTTCAGAACATTATTGCTGAAAATGGCTGGACAGGTGGATCTGCTGCTATAATTCAGATTGGGACTGCGGTTAGATATCTTTAAAAAACAAACAAAAAAACCCATATAATCTACAGTTTATTCACACAGTCTGCACTATATATATATTGATATAATGTTCTGATTTCCTTTCAGATATACTGTAGAAGAATGCACCAATATCATAAACCCCAGTTTGTGTTATAGTTGTCGCTACTATATTTAGGGCTGTAAAATGGTTTCTGAGACAACTCCCTGCTTTCAGTCCCCGAACTCCAACAGTCAAATAACTGGTGTACTCTCTGTTAAAAGTTTTATCATGCAATATCCAAGAGAGTCTTAGATCTCTGCTAAGATCAGGGTTTCTCCCATGATGAAAACCTGCCATCTCTCACTGTTCTTAACTGTTAAAAAAACCTTCCTTTAGTCTTTATGGAAATGAAACACATTGCAAAATGGATTGCCCAACATGCTGATAGGTATTTCATTTTCTGGTAATTAGAGTCTGTGAATGAGTTGAGCATGTCAAAATCCCTGTACATTTTAGGTGTAATGGCAATTTATCAGTACAAAAGAAACAGAAAATATTATTTATGGATTTAATGGAAAACGTTTTCATTGTCAACATTTTCTGTTTCAGTGTTTTTGTCTACATAAATTCTATGATGCAACAATTGTTATTATCTATCCTTGTAAATCAAATAATTTACTGTTAAGTATAAGGGTTTCTGATAGTTCATATAGAATATATAATATGTCAAGCTAAACTGTGATGTTGTTATCTTATCAAGGACTGCTAGTTAAAGTTAGAAGCTAGGAAAGCAAAAACTCAAATGGGTTTTAGTAGAGTTCTTAAACTATTCAAAAAAAATCGTGTAAGGTGCAAATATCTTGCAACACTGGCTATTACAGTGCCATGATAATGTCTGTTCTCACTGTCAGGTGACATGAGGTGTATGTTCTGTTTGGATTCAGTGTGTGGTATATAAAATTGCCTCTCCTCTCTTTTCACCTATTCTATGCTACCCAATTCTCCCCTCTCTC